TTCATTATGCTTCAGAAGATTGGAGACTGTTGAGAATTAGGCTTGGGGTTGATTAATGATTGTGCATTGAGTCCCCCATACAGAATTTTATTGTTGTTAACAATCATTTGATCAATAAATATGAGAGATGCCCTCTCAAAAAAAAAAATAACCATGTATTATATGGCTTATAACACATCTGGAAGTAAATTGTATGCCAACAATAACATAAAAGGCAAGATAGGAGAAATGAAAAAATACTGTTGTAAGATTCTTATACTCTACATTAAATAGTATAATACCACTTGAACAGACTATAACAATTTAAATAAGTGCATTAGAAACCCTAAAATAATACAATAGAGTTTTAGCTAGTTAGCTAACAAATTTGATAAAATGGAATACATAAAATAATTAATCCACAAGAAGGTAGAAAAAGAGGGAAACTATATTAAATGCAATTTAAATGGTCTAAGCATCCTGATTAAGAAGTAGAGATTGTGAGTTTGGATAAAAAAGCAAGACTCAAGTCTATACTGTCTAACAAGATACCCATTTTAAATATAAGACACAAACAGTTTAATATTAAAAGGATGGAAAAAGAAACACCATATTAACTCTAATCAAAAGAACACTTAAATGGCTATATTAATGTCAAACAAAGTAGATTTTTAAGAAAAATGGAATATTATCAGAGGTAGAGAGTGCCATTTCATAATATGAGTCAGCTCATCGAACAAACACAAGAATCCTGGATTTTTATATACCTAAAAAATAACTTCAAAATACATGATGCAAGAACTTATCAAACTACTATGAATGAATGCTAATGCACTATATTTACATTATAAATCCAACTGGGCACAATGGGAAGATTTAATAAATAGCTGTTAAATGAATCAAGTATACAGTATATCAGATAGGTAGGCCCTTTATATATATAAAGTGTATTGTATATATCTTGATAACAACTTTGTCAGGTAGGTGGGCATTAATTCTGTTTTACAAATGAGAAAACTGAGGCTCAAACCAATTAATTTGTGTAAAGTTACAGAGCTACTATCTAGTGAGCTGCAATTAAAAATCTCAGTTTGTCTGACTCCAAAGTCTCTGCATTTTACATCATGTATATACTTCCCCAGTTCATATTTGCTTGCAGCAATGAAGTTTCACTAATTTATAGGGATTAAACTTATCCTTGATAAGTTTGAACTTATCTTATAGGGATATAAGTTCTACAAGAGTTCTGTGAGATGTGCTGCTGCATCCACAATGCACAGGCATAGCTTGGGGTGATTCTACAGTAATGGCAAAAATACAACATCTGCTTGAGGCAAACAGGCCAGGTTGCTTTTACCACTGTATGGAGTCATTGAAATAGATCTGTGTTTCACAAGTGTTTCATTTATTCATTCAACAAATATTTGAATCACCTACTATGTTCTTTCAGGAATTAAAAGATTTTAAAAAATGGTTCCTGCTTTCTAGGAGCTTTCAATCTAGGAAACTTGATGATAAACACCTAGAAAATCCTAAAACAAAGGAAAAGGTAGCAAGCCCACACAAAATAAAAAAACAAAACCTGGGAGTTCAGAGCACAGAATGTATTTCAACAAAAGCATCATAAAAGGGTGCATGAAGGAGGTGTCAGGAGAACTAAGCCTTGAAGGATTATAAAACTTCTGGAAAGTACCATTTCTCAATTCAAGGAGGTAGGAGTGGGTGTGTAGAGAAGGAGAGAGAAGAAAAAAGACTGGATAACAGCTCAATTTTAAAAAAATCAAGTACTGTAATACTGAAAATTCATAATTTGCTGGTTAATATCTGCATTAAAATTTGTAGCCTAGTTCAAAATAGTTTTATAGTACTAGTGCCTTTCCTTATTAAATGATATGTATGATTGTTACATTATACTATATTCTGAAATATTTTTAAACTTCACCCTCTGGAAACTTTCTCACAGCCAAGTAGTTGAATATTGTGGACATAGCTTTTGATACACACTGTTGCTAAAGTAATAGATTTCTGAATCATACGAAGTGAAGCTGTATGAAATACTGTCTTGCATCTGCCCATGTAGCTTTGGGTTACTGTCTCTGATCCTCACGAAGTGATGAACTCACATGAAAAGCATCTTGTACTTTCTAGATAGCATTAATAGCTCCATTTGTAACTGAACGTAGAGAAAATAGATGTGAGAGAATGGGCTGAGGGGGAGAAACTAACCAGAGCATTCAGAAGCAGCACAAGAAAGGTACTAGGAGCCATAATCAAAAGGCTGCAAACATCTATGGCGAGGAAACTCAGCAGCAAGAACCCTTGACAACGATCTGAAGCAGAAGTCGCAGACTTCTAAGAGCCGACCATACAGAACCTAGAAGTCTCTGGTCCTTTTATATTTGAACACTCACCCTATACCAGGTACTGTTCTTGGAGTAGAGACACAACAGTGAAAAGGCAAGGTCCCTCCCCTCACAGAACTGACACTGAGGTACAGATGACCGATAATTAACAAGTAAACAAATTACTACAACAAAATAGAGCTAGCTGCACTGGTGCTTCTCTTATGCACTCTCAAATGTAAGCATCCTATATATTTAATCACAAGTAGATGAGACATAACTAGATAAAACAATTTTTTTATCCAGACTGAAACCAAATTCAGCCCAACCCACACTTACAGTCACTGTAAAGTCATAACAGTCAGGAAGCTCCTGATGACTAATGGTCTGCAGATTAATGGCCTTTAGTTTAAACTGCAGCTCCACTGTTAGAAGTCTAGAAAACAGAAGAGACTGGTGCAATGAAAACATATACACACAAAAATGAGTTACACTCCCGCCGGCTTCCCTCACCTGTGAAAGTCCAGTGTTAAATTGAGTTTATTTTCTTCTAGTGTTCCAATATAAAAAGATTCATCTGGCTCTATAAAGAAACATTCTGCCATAGAAAGGAACAAAACTTAATATAGCACCTAAAATAAATAAACTGCATCTTGAAACAATAATGCATTTAAGACTACATATTCAGATTTGAGTATTTTTCTGAATTAAGATTTAAAAGCTAAACATCAATGCCCTTTGGTTACACTGAGTCATTTGTTTTTAAGGCACAAATAACTACAATATTTCTGGGGCACATGGAGGGTTGAGATGGATCTAAACTCTAGTTCATTAGCATTCTATGTAATGCTATCTTCCTTCTTGTCTTTTTAAGCCTAACCTTTGAGTCCCTTCTCCCTTTTTTGTGTACTAAGCATAGGTTTGAAGTACTTTCAGTGCTTAAGACAAAGTTTTCTAAGTTTAAAGGATCTATTTTTTAAAATAGTATGTGTTGAAAATTTCTCTTCAAAATGCACTTTAATAAAAAGGAAGACAGCATCTTAGAAGGTTTTCACTAGTCAGTACTGTAATCCTTTACTATTCTAAGAAAACAAGTCCCAGTGGCTATTGTTTAAAGTGTTTGAATACTTATTTTCTAACTTAGTGATGTAAGCTAATGTTTTTAGAACAAACTGCAAATAGAACTTTGCTAGTGAGAATAAGCTGTACAATTCTATGTTCTGTCCCATTCTTCCCACAAATACACTGAAGAGTGAAGTGCAAGTAAGGGAAGGGTATTTTATACATATCAAGAATTTGCAAGCATATGTTTAACAAGGATAGTATCTGTCTACTTAACTGGCTTATCCAGCATGAGAGACAATGGATAAGAGCACAGGCAGCTTGGATCAAACTTCAGCACTGCCTCTTATAGCTCCATCTTGAGCAGATCACTTAATTCTCTGAGCCATGCCTTAGTCCCCTATAAAATAATAATAGTAATAAAACTTGCCTTCTTGTTTTTTTTAATGAATAATCATGAATTATAGTAAATGGCTTAGGAGAGTACCTGACACATGTAACTCCTCTATAGTTCTTCCTAATAGTTCTTACTTATAGTTCTTCCTAATAGCACAGACCAAATCAATGTTTTCAGAGATGAAACTACCGATTTTAAGTAAAATCAAAAAATTAAGAATAGAAACTTTAGCTGATTAGAAAAGATCACCAGTTTCAATTTCAGAATCAATGTCAAAGGTGTCATTTTCAGGAAAGATGTTTCCTTGCTTGTAGAAGTGCTGACAGATTGCCATAGGAGATTCCTCCGAACCCTCTCTCTTGTAAGCGTGATTCCCAACTGAGACATTGCGCAGCTGCAAGTACTTCAACCAAAAAGAGAAACAGAAAATGGGAACACCAGTCAGGGCAGAAGAGTAGCCATGATTCCCCACCCTCCCTGACTTTGAAAGGAGCAGAATCTAATCTGTCTGGATGGAGACATTCACATCAGTACAGAGTAGATGACCTGCTTCTGCGCAGCAAGATAGCAGAGGACAAAGAGCACTCATGAACTATTGTTCTAGATTCAAGTGTCATTGCTGTGACTTTATAGAAAGTCACAAACTTACTAAGCCTCTGGTTTTTTATTTGCAAAATTAAAGGCTTGAACACCATAATCTCTGAGGCTCTTTTCTCCTTTAAGGAATTACGTTCAGGAACTGATTTTTACATTCAGTGTAAATATAAATTTTATTTTTCTTTGACCTATTTCCTGAAAACTCAGAGTTCTGCTTTACTATTGTAATATAGGAAGGGGGATGCAATTGCTTCAGGCTAGCCAGCAAAACTTTTCTTAAAGAAAAATTGTTTAATCTTTGTCTTTGCAAGAATACAGGTTAGTCATGTTCACAGCAGTATTCCCTTGTCCACTAAATAAAATAAAATGTTCCTTTTACAAATGAAACTCTTGTGGCATCTTGGGATAACTGTCCACCCAAACTCTTAATGGGTTTCTGTAAATGGAAACCACAAAACAAAGTGTTTCAGACCTGCCTATGAACAGCATGGTTTGGCACAATTGGTGATACAAAGACAGGGACATGGTAACTATCTCCTGGAATTAACAAAATTTAGTGGAATGGACACGTAGATAAATAATTCTATTAAAAATGCATGTGAAACACTCTATACTTAACAAAGGAAACCATCTATAATCTGGGTCTGTGGATGGATTCTGAGCCGGGCCTTGCTGAGGGCACCAAGGAGCAGACGTTCTCAGATTTGATGCTTGTTCTCAGGCTGCATCTAACTTAACCTGCCCGTGGTGTTGGATGCAGCTGAGTGCATTCTCCTTTAGGGGCCATAGTCTTGTCTCCACAGAGGACTCACAGGACTGTTACAGGGAAGATGTGAACTAATGCATGTAAAGCCCTTAGAGCAGTGACACCCATGACATGGGTCTGTTCAAGACTCTGCTCTTGCTGTTCCTTCTCCCTGGAAGGCTCTTTGTTGAGATAACCCCAAGCTGCTTTCCCACACTTCGTCTGCTCTCTGCTCACCTGTCACCTTAAGAGAGGCCTTCCCTGATTCACTGCCACCCATTCACTCTGCCTACTTCTCTCTCTCTCTTCTTTTTACAATATACTTATAACCAATGGGTAGATGGCATTTTATTTGCTTATTTACTGCCTATCTCTTCCTTTCAGAATATGACTTCTCAACTTTGTTCGCTGCAGAATCCCTGCACCAAAATATCTGATACATAACAGATGATAAATGTTTGAGTGAATAAATGTTAGCCTTTGATAATGTATAACAGAGTCTCTCCCCTACTGAAAGCCTCCCATGGTTTTCCATCTCCCTCAGAACAAACTTTAAGTTTTCCTTCCAGAGCCTATGAAGCCCTGAGAGACTAACTCAGTCACACCTGACTTTGAATTTCCTTAAATATCCTATATGTCTTCTTGCCTCCAGGGTCTTTACCATTTCTACTCCTTCAGCCTAGAATATTGTTCCCCAGACTTCAGTCCTCAGAGAGATCCTCTCTGACCACCTTGAGGCCATAGTTAATGCATTATGCTATTTTATTTTACATCATAGCCCTCATCACTATATGAAACCAAATGATTTTGATTAAACTTATTTAAAACACATCTTCTCCATTAGAATGTAAATTCTATAAGGCAAGGGACTTACCAAGTCCATTGCTCTAACCTCATCACTTAGAAAAGTATTAGGCATAGAGTAGGGACCCAATTATTTGTTAAACCAATGCTGAGGTAGAAAATTATTATAATTCAACACTGGCCCTTCATTTACTAGGAGGATCTATGCACAGTGAGATGAGAAGCTGCTAGGGTAGGATGTGTGACTATGGCACCAAACTTTGTATAAGAATTTGGGATTGGGAAAATGAGCCAGAAATCTAGAGTAATAAAAGTAAACTGCACAAATTATTAAATAGCATTATGTTTTCCATGTAAGGGGGAAATAGCATAATGCTGGAAATACTCAGTTGTGAGATTTTTGTTTTCTTTTGGAGGAGCTAAGTGTGCTAAGTCTTTCTGAAGCTACTCTGAGCCACATGGGTAGTTTTAAATGGGGAGTGGAGGGGGGAGTCATAAGAGGTAAACAGTCCATTAAATGAAAAAGAAAGTCAAAGATATTGAGTGTGGTAAGGTACCAAGTAGACCAGTATACTTGGATGTGGAATAATAGGAGGTAAAACTGGAAAGTCAAATAGGGCTCATGAAGTAAGCTGCTGTATGGGGTCCTATTGCCCTTCTGGGGCCCCCTATTTGTGGGGCAAACCCCACAGGAATCACCTAATGATATGAACCTCATGACCACAGAACCTTGTGTGTCTTGAACCTTGTAAAATCTTGAAATACAAAAGATTTGAGGCACAGGGCTGCAGGTACCTGCTAACATATGCTATGTACCATCAGACTTCCTTGCTAACCTAGTGAGGTTCTTTGTGGAGGCCTGAGTACCTGCCCAGGCTAGTCAGTAGGAAGCAGCAGGGCTGTGTCCAGCTCTAGAGCAGCTCTAGAGCCCAAGCTGGATGACTCAGGGAGAGGAAGGTGGTGTGGGACTGTGGCTGGGAAGTGGGTGACCTCACTGATGGGACTCCTAAATGGCTATGGCCTCTGTGGGGCTTTAATCAGACTGGGCATCTGTCCCCACTTGCCTCTGCGGTTCTGCCTTGAGAGAAGTTTTTCATACAGATCCATGGGTTCCAGGTCATCCTTTGGGAGACAGTATAAAAATACATTAAAGGTCCTTACCTGAAGGATGTGGCACCCAAAGTAAAGTGATTAAAACTGATTGCTCCTTGATTGTAGATTGCTTATGTGTGCTCCTTCTGTAATCACCTGATCCTAACACATATCATGAGTCTTTTGAGCTCTTTTATTCATTCTCAAATATCTGAGTGCCTATTGTGTACCTCTGCTTTCAAGGAATAAATACATCAAATGCTGTGGCACTGAACATTGTTTTATAGATACAGATATGGATATAGATACAGATAGATGTAGATATAGATAAAATGAGGGGTATTATGAAATCACATCTGTGATTTTAGGTGAATTCTTCAGAAAATAGCCAAGAAGTGGTAGAACAAGTAGGTGGGGAAGAAGGGAAGCCAACCAGAAGTAGGTTGAGCTGTGAGACTAAATGATTCCAAGTCTCTGAGGCCTTTACATCTAAGCAACTGACCAGAAAGAGAAACAGGAAGCAGGTGGGAAGAGAATCTGAACCTGCTTTGGATGGGAGTGGTTACGGGCTGTCTGGCACATAGTCAGGTGAGCAGCTGTTTAGGAGCCACCTCTTCTTGGTGAGACTGTCTAGTGGAGGAAATTCTATAGAAAAGGACAAAACTTTGAGGACTGCCTGAATATAGGGACAGATGAGAGAGAGGAACCCAATAAGGATGACCCCAAAATGACTGAGGAAAGCCAGGATACAGTATAAAAACAAAACAAGTAGGTCCTTGACATTCAAATATATATAATATTTCAATGTCAAATGTCTCAAGCTTATATAATAAACAAAAGTGATGCTGTTATAACCAGTGTTGGATCAAGACGAGCCCTAAAGCTTTTCCAGTTATATGACATCTTGGGGCAAAACACTTCAGGATAACTAATATGCTGTGGAAATACCTCTAAAGTCTAAGAAGCCACTATCCTGTATGTTAGTTCCCCTCAGTGACCATTACCTCAACTATTAAGTTATTTCCTTAAGCAAAGAAACATATATTCCCCACTCAGTTCTTTGAAGTCATGTAGAGTAACTACTTCATTAACCACAAAAACTCTAGTTATTCATGAAAATTGTGGTCAAGGTACTTTTTACCTTCAGTAATAGTGTCTGAGAGTGCTTGGAAAATGGTGGGGAATCACCTACCCAAGGTATACCATGCAAATTAATATTATCTACTTATATACTGGGATAAGGGATCTCCATGCACTTCTGTAAAGAACACAGAAATCTGAAAAACAGAATGGCCTGACTGTCAAATACAGTATTTTAAAAACTGATTTTAGGAAGAATTTAATGAACTGTTTTCCAGTTGCCTCTACCCACCCATCTCCCTAAAACAAAGAAACTACCAATTTGGTTCAGAACAGCTTTAGAGAAACTTAATTAGCTTAAAACAAAAATCTTAAACCTGAGTATCTGTAGCACTATATTATTTTTTCTCTTACAAATTTTAGGACATAATTCTGTTTAACAACTTATGTAGCTTATTACTGTAGGTTTTGGCCAATTTTCACAATCCAAATGTTAACAGAAAGCCTTGGTGCCATGAAAACATAGTTCATCCTGGCAATTTACTATCTCACTGTGCATAGTTTGTCTCTAGATAATGAAGAGCCGTGACTGCACTATAATAATTTTTTAAAGATGGATTGTAATATTGAAATGCGATCTACAAACTAACCCAGGTTGGGAATACTGTCTTCAAGAACATTTTCAGTGTTACCTACAAAGTAAGAGATTTAGGATCTTGCGAAAATACCCTTTTTGGAAAAAACAAATTGATTAGAAACTCAGAACAGGAATTTGACTCATCTATATGACAAACAAGCTTACTTTTTTTGGGAGCTAATCAATGTGACAATAAAATCATTGTCATGTATGATATGAAGGCCTTACTTATCTTTTAAGTGAACATTCAGATCTTAGTCTGCAAAGTTAATATTCTCATTATTTGTTAAGGGCCCCTGAAAGTATAAACTCTTAAGACTTAATGATGACTTAGGGCCATGGTTAGTAATTTTAAATCTTAGAATGTGCATGCCAAGTCTTAGCTCTGATTCTTTTAATTAGATTGTTAACATTTCTATTACTAAGCAAAAGCTCCTCTTAATTTCTAGCTTCATAAAAGTTTATTGCAACATTTTTAAAAAACAATTTAAATATGGTTTTATAAATGTCATTTGCATGTCATTACAGAAATGTTCACCCCTGTACACTTCAATTCTATGAGGTACACTGCTAACAATTTTTCAGTCTGTTCTTTCTCCCCTATAAAGAATGAAACTGCTTGGAGATAGAGGGTATTATGTTCAGTGAAATAAGCCAGGCAGAGAAAGACAAGTGCCAAATGATTTCCCTCATTTGTGGAGTGTAATGACGAAGCAAAACTGAAGGAACAAAACAGCAGCAGACTCACAGGCTCCAAGAAGGGACTAGCGGTTACCAAGGGGAGGGGTGAGGAAGGGTGGGTGGGGCAGGAGGGAGAAGGGGATTGAAGGGTATTATGATTGGCACACATAGTGTGGGGCGGGATCATGGGGAAGACAGTGTAGGACAGAGAAGACAAGTAGTGACTCTGTGGCATCTTACTACACTGATGGACAGTGACTGCAATAGGGTCTGGGGGGGGACTTGATAATATGGGTGAATGTAGTAACCACATTGTTTTTCATGTGAAACCATCGTAAGAGTGTGTATCAATAATTCCTTAATAAAAAAAGTAAGAATGAACCTGCTTGATTTACCTGGTTTACTGCAAAGATGATCTGATCATAAACATCACTTTGTGTGTATACTGCATAGGTGTCATCCAATTGGTTCACATCCACATATCCTTTTAGGAAGAGGTGTTTGAATGCTATAGTGTTCTCTTCTGTGAAAGCTACCACCATCTGGTTACTTAGCCCAAACAGGATCAGCTTAAAAGAAAAAAAGATAAACTAAGGGTAAACCCAATGAAATAAAAGGTCTCCATATAATGAGCAATTAGGATTCTGTGTCTAATTAATATTGAATATATCCAATAAACATTAAAATTTTGGTAGGTGTGTATTAATTTGTCCCTAAAGATAAGGTGGGTTTCTAGTTTTAAAATGAAAAAAAAGTGACTTTACATATCTTCAACATTTATTTTCATGTACCATCTTGCTTATGGTTTTGCTCACACCATCAACAGCTTTAAAAGTTCAGAGAAACCCTCTAGGAGTTCTTCAGATGTCCAGAGGGACAAGGTCACTTAGGCTACAGCAATGGAAAGATTTCCTTAAAGAGGAAAGAAGGATGGAAACCCCTGAAGTACGTGCAGACCTCTGGCAGAAGACATTCGAGGATTGCAGAGGAAAGGCTGAGAAGGTAGAAGGGATTTTAGGGGGACACTAAGGACAAAGACAATTCAAAGACAAGAACAGCAAGAAGAAAATATGAGCAGAAAAATTGGAGACAAATGGTACAAGGGCTGGAACAACAAGTAGAAGAGTTGGAAATGAGTACTGTGGAACAGGAAGGTTTTGAAGCAGGTGAACAATACAATGTAAGAAATACCTTAAATAAGTCTAAGTTCTTAGATCAAATCATAGTCCTAGGTCTAATTACCAAGACATGACAATAAGACCAAAAAGAAAAATATCCTTTCAACTCTTCTCTAAATTAAAGTGTATTACCATACTATATCCTTCATATTCATACAGGATTGACCCTAGAATTTAAAATGAAACTCAGTTGTACACACACCAAAAGTTAACTGCACTGCTGTCACATTACATAAGCTCTTTCAATCAGATCCAAAACTTTACTGTACTCCAAGTCTCTCCTTCATTTTCTCTTCCCTCCCAAACCATCTCAATAGCCCCTACTTCTTAGCTCTCTTTTGCTCTCTTTCTTATACACAAATACACAAACACACAAGCTATAAATTTAGAATATACACTGTGACTTAGATCTCAGAGTGACACAGGGTGTGTTTTCTATAAGAAGAGGGAACAACATTGAGCACCTAAGTGCCAAACACTATTCAGGAACTTTCCTCATGCTAACCCGGCAGGAAAGTTCCTAATATACCCATTTTCAAGATAAGTACATAAAGTATCAGAGACTCTAATTAATTTTTTCAAGACACATCACTAGTAAGTGTATGATCACAATCTGAACCCAAGTCTAACAAACTAAATCTAAGCTCTAGACATCCTATCATGCTACACACAAAGTAATCCAGGGTCTGATCAAGGGAAAACAGAAAGTAGACAAATGTTTTCCCTTCTCGCCTCCCCTGTAATATATGCTCTGTACCCCACAAATGTCTTCACTCTCCATATGACTCCGATTTCTGTAGAGCCTCTTTAAGCTAAGTGTCCTATTTAAACACCAATAAGATGACAGCTTGATAGTAGTTCAGGGATTTTACATCAGTGGAAGCTAATAACCAAAAAGCCTCCTTTAAGAGAATTCTCAAAGACATTCTTACTAATGCATTCAAACACATGAGTACCTTCCACATGCAGGCAGGGAGTTAGGTCCCAAGGATACAGTGAGAAGACAATGGACCCTGCCCTCAAGGGCCTGGTGGCAGACAGGAGCACCAGTGGCAGAGAGAGAACTGCTGGAACTCAGAGACTGAGCCAAATAATAGGAAAAGGGAAGCTTTTAGTAGGGTGTGTGTCCTTGCGGACATCTTTCTTTTGCAGTGGCAGACACAAAACCTCCTACTTACCAGGAAGGGCCACCTTCTTTTCCCTAAAAGAGGGAATTTGCCACCAAGCACCTCCATTCACTCAAGTACAATGTATGTAATATTTCCTTGATTGCTCCGATACAAATTAAGGAAACATCACAATTAAGAAAAACCCTTAGTTCTTTTTTAAAACTTGCCTAAAAGCTTTTTATATGCTTAATACTAACAGGTTTAACATCTTAAACCATTGATCAGTTTTCTTCCTGACCACCCTAGTAAACACAGGAAGGTTAGATAAGCTCCCTGAAAGATTTAGGAGTCATTAAGAAGGTGTGGCTTAAAGGGAATACAATCTGAGTTTGAACCTCAGTTCTATCCTTCTTATTTCCTAACTATGACAGGTTATTTGACCTCACTGAACCCCTGTGTTCTCATCTGTGAAATGGGGATGCCACTGCCTACCTTGATTTGCTTTAGGAATCAGCCTTGATGATATAATATGTTTCACCTGAAGCACAGCAAACATGCAAGTGGTACCTATCATTCTAAGTAGAAAATATTCATGTTCAACTGAGAAAGGCATTACCCCTACTTAACAGAAACAGCACAGATAAAACTTTCACTACTGTGATACACTGGTATGATCACTTAGAAGTTAAGAATTTCAATTCCAACTTGCCAAATATTATACTGAGAACTGAACATCCATGTTCATGTTGACACATGAGAGCACGTGTGACTCTGAAGTCTGGATTCCACCATTGACCAGTCATGTGGCTTTTTAAGAACTCTATAAATATCAGTTTCCTCTTCCATAAAATGAAGGATGCTAGTATTTATCCAATAGAAATATTACTGGAATTAAATGAAATAATGTTCTGAAACAGAATAGTCACTCAACTGTTAATTTCCTTTACACAATGTCTAGCATCAGAAACTTAGGCAAGAATTGTACCAACTTCATGTCTGTAGAAATCACCTTAGCTTTTAACAATCTGAAGCATTTGTTCTCAATAATCAATTAAGATGAGTGATTTCAGGATTAAAAAAAGAATTAATACTGATTGTTTATTTACCTATGCATTTTTTTCACCAAGAAGAGAAAATATTAATAAAAACAAACCTATCACATCTATTTTTCCTATTAAGATCTGCTTTTATATTTTCCCTTTTACTTTTAACAAGAGACAATTACTCTCACCAGCAGGAAAACATACCTTTGCAAGAGTAAATCGTGACCAGTATATGTAAAGAATTGCAAAATACGGTTTCCCCCAAAAAATGTTAAGAGAAGTCAAGAAGTGATATTCAAAATCTCCTAAAATGAAGTCTTATATTTCACAACCTATGCCGCTCCTTCTCAGTTAACTGCACATTCTTCGCCTGCTGGGCTCCCATGATCAAAGGGCAGTGAGAATCCAAGGACTTGCCTTCATAGCAATCCTAGACATTTCTGAAAAGAGAGAGAAATTCCCAGGAAAACTAACTAGGAAGGGAAAGAATCCTCTGGTTGGGCAACAGCTAGTTCCCATGGTTGATTTAGACACCTTCAGGTAAACCTCTCTACAGGAAGCCAAATATTAAAGTTTTCTTTCCTGGAAACTAATTACATTATGTGACTAAAATTATAACCTAATGAAACATGAGAAGGAAAAAAGTAAGAAAAAACCCCAAGGTCTTCTTCTGAAGACCTTATCTGAAAAGAGAAGGATTTAAGATAGCACATTTTCTTATGTATTGCTTTCTATTATGCACACAGTTAAAACAAACAAACAAACAAACAAAAAAAGCCACTGCCCATCGTCTTCTTTGCTATTAAAAGAAGCCTTCTCTAAACTCAGGATCTGAGATACTTACCTGGATCGTCACCATTACAATTTTTAGAATTTGTGTGCCAAGTTTCCACGGTTTTCTACCTTGAGTCCGGAACTTCTCACAAGGGTTCATGAAAAAAAAACTGACTTTTTGCCTCATCTGGTCTTCTAATAGAAGCTGCTCAGAGGAAAATGTATGCTGGTTAAAAGTGTAGTGATTTTCCTCTTCCAGAGAGCTGTAGTTACTTATAACAACTTCAGGATTTGCCATCTCTATGGAGAAAAAAAAAATACTGTTTCCTTCCTGTAAGTAAAGACACGAATCTACATTCTTTGCTGTAACAGGACAGGTGAAGAAGCCCAAACAATGCCTCCCCTTATACGAAGTGAAGATTAAATAAAATGTAAACAAAGCACTCGCATAGGGTGTAACACTAAGTGAGCCCCCTTCTTTTCCAACCAGCCCCCGTAGACAGGTCAGCTTTCTGAACAGCCAACAAGGTTCTTGAGGGATAATGTGAGCATCAAGGGATTTAGCTGTTCTACAAAGGAAACACACAGAAGCTCAATTTAAGCCCAAATTTCAATCAGCCACATCACTTGTATTTGCTTTTTTACTAAGGACTTACATTCATGCAGCACATTTTCCTTTTCAAAGTACTTCATACCTATTGTTTCTTTTGTCCTTTGGAAAGGATGGGGGTGATTTATTGTCTACATAGTCAGCTTTTCCAAAATGACAAAGAAGTCACTCCAGAAACTGGGACCTATCTTGGATTTTCTCTGAAACTAGCACTGTTATTCTGGAAACCTGGTCAAAACAAAACACCCCAAACCACCAGAAGAACAGAATTCTTCCATGTAGAATAAAAAGGCTGGTTCTGTTTGATATTTTTATATAACTTCTCTCAGAGATCAGAGTGGGGGACATTCAAACAGAATTAATACGCAATATCTAACAAGTTACTATTTAGGTACCACACTGCTTTCCAAGTACAGAAATCCACATTTGGTTCTAATTCAAACATGCTTAGCAAACCCAAGGTCTCTAAATAACAGATACTGGCAATAACAATTCGCCATGGGGAAGGTTTTTAACTCTTGATTAATGAAAAGATTAATAAGGATATTGTTGAGTCATTAAGGCATAAAACATATTTACAATAGCATATGCAATACTTTCAAAACGAAATAATTATGATAGACCTCATTTAAGTGTAGCTGGTGTGTGTGCAAAAATGTCTGTCAAAATATGAGTAAAATAACTTTAAGGTAAAGACCTAGTGAGAGAAAAAGTTATTAATCTCTTAGGATTCTCACTCAACATTTTATTCCTTTCTTCAAAAAGCTATGATATTTTAGCCAACATTTAAAGAGAGTTTACCTATGGGATTTCAAACAAAGATGTTTTATGCTAATCAAAACTCACATATGAACAACAACAACATAACAATGAAGCTGTTAATAATAGAGCGTGTTAATGAATTACAGATTTGAGATAGCATTAAGTCTTTTCTATTTTGATACAGGTTAAACTAAACTTTAAACAAACTTAGCTGCACTCCGCGAAGCAGTAACCCCACAGGAACAAAGAGAAAATTAGCCAACCACAATTAATTTATTCAGCACATTGTACCAGGTGTCCCGGGGGCCAATCTGTCCGTTCACAAGGACTGACCGCTAAACTTGCTGTAAACATTAGCTTGATCACGTCGCATAAGCCCTTCCGAGGGTGCACTTCAAAACCCGCAAACTGTCCAGTCGCCAGCTGCCTAAGGAGAGCTCGACAGCAACCCTTTGACAGCCCCCCGCCACCCCCGCCCCGGGCATACAGGATGCAGGGTCAGAGCCAAGCAGGTCCGCAGCGAGTCTATATCCGAGGAATGAGGCATGCTCTTAGAATCTACAAGCTAATACACAGAGGTTATTTACTCCTGACGATGAGAGGCGTCATTGGTTTGGAAGGCAGAGAACGGGAAAACCAGAGAAAATGTGTAAACAGTGAAAGCCTCACAATTGACTACAAAGTAAAGCAACCTGATTTCTTCAGAAGCATTTCCTACTTCACCAGACAAAACTTCGGTGTTTTTTCCTTTCTTTCTTTGTGTTTTCGTTGTTTGGGGATTGTTTTGTTTGTGTTTATCGTTTGTTTTAAATAGGCGTTCCGACTGACTTTGCGCGAGCACTCGTAGGCCGAGCGGACTGGGCCCGCTCGCCTGCCCCGGGGCGGTGCGCGCCGCCGCCGCAGCTCGCTGCCTCCGCTCTGCTCCGGCGCTCCGGCTTCATTCCCTGCGCCCCCCGTGCCCGTCCGCTCTCATGAACAGGCACTCGGGTCTAGAGAGGCTGGCTGTGCACCGGCAAGACCTTCTCTGAGCCTCGGCTGCACGCAGACGGCCACCCCCTCCCCGCGCAGGAGGCCGCCCGCCCTCGCAGTTCCTGCCTGCGGTCTCCCGCGGGCGACAGCCTGGGCGGGGACCTCGCCGCGGAGCCCCCCCGCCTCGGCGACTGGGGTCTGGGCTACGCCAGGCTGGGGGCGCGCTGCCCCGCCGCGCCGTGCCGGAGGCACCACCACTGACCTCCGTCTGGCCAAGCCCGCACTTGGCCGAACCGCCGCAGCTCGCACCGCGTTCCCACCGTTGTCGCATTCATGGCGCTGACGTCCGGGGGCCCGTCCTTCCCTTTTGTCCCCGAAGGTTCAGTCCCTCCCTGCACGCCGCGCATGCTAGTCCCAAACCTGTTGCCTCCGGGCAGTGCCGGCCCCGCTCACCTGCGGCGACCGAGGTGGTGTCCAAGGGGGCGACGCGGCGATCCGCCGGAGCGCAGCCAGCCGGCCGGCGGCGAAACTTCGGTCTTAGCCTCACAGGGACTCGGCCTGTCTGCACCCCTCCTTCAAGCCTTTGAGGCTCGGCTCAGCGCCGCGCAATGCGAGCTCGGCGGCCGCGAGGCGCTGCGGGTGGCATCCCCCCTCCTCCGGCCGCTTTATCTTGTGACTCTCATCCCGTCGCTCCCACTGCCTTCCACGCTCTTGTGGGACAGGTGGGGCGGACGAGGCCGTCCTAAGGGGCTCGGCGCTGTGCGGCTCTCTGGGCTCCCCACCCTCCTGCGCGTTCCGGGCCCCAGCCCTGCTCTGATTTGCTCCTGCTTCTCCGGAGCTGCCACGCAGGGAGGCGCGAGTGCGAGGGCTCCGGGCTTCAGCCGCAAAGGGGCACCCCGCCGGGCGATTCCTCTCACCTGCTCATGGCGGGTAGATGCGGACGCATGTTCACTGATTTCTAGCAGCCGTCCATTCTGAGTTTCGTATGCAGCGGAAATCAAAAGCTTTCCAGTTTGGGTGAATTGCTTTGAAATTAGTGGACTGTGGACTAAACAACTCTTGACTGGGGGCTGGCACAGAGAAGCCCAGGGAAACCCTTAGAAGAAATGTTACTGGAAATGCTAGAGGTAGTGACAAAGCATTACAGACTTTGCTTGGCCAGTCTGTAGTCAGGCTCCTAACCTTTCCCTCAGACTCATCTATGCGCTTCCTTGTAAATCCAGATTTAGCGAGAACCCTACTAAGTAACTCTCTTCCCTTCAATATCTGATCATCCTCAATATGTAATCTGTTCTTTATCCTTCACCATCACCCAGGTGATGTCTGATCATCCTGGGCTGTTTTCAACAAGAATCCTGTTAGGTCGGTTTAGTCAGAATTCCCTTGACCCCTGTAATTTTCTTAGTAATTTTACATCCACTGACCCTTGCCCTGCTCCCAGGCTAGAAATTCCCACCTGCGCATGCTGTTTTAGGAGCTGAGTCCCATTTCTCTCCCCGACTGTAAAATCCCCTATAACAGTGGTCCCTGTAACTATTTCGATGGTCCTAAATAAAGTGTGCCTTACCATCTTTAACAAGTGTCATTGAATATTTTTGTAGAAGTAGACCTCCAACCATTTTTCTTCAAGAATTCTTTTTTTAAATCAAACCTTGTCTTATCCAGAATTGATCAGGAACCTTGATTAATTTTAATTAACAATCACTTTAGATTTTTATGTTTTGGTCATGGGTAAGTTTGCAAAAGCCACTGAATTTCCCTAATAGGTAATTCTCCAAATTATATCCAGAGCTGTCAGATCTCTTACAAAAGGCTTTTCAATCCTAACCCAGTTTGCATGGATGATTATAAACAGAAATATCTTTTCTTGCAATGCCATCCATATTCTGTTCGTAAATCTGAATCCCAAGTGCTGTGAATAAGGTAAACACTCAAAAGGGTGAAATTAGCACACTCAATTCTCAAGTGCAATTTGGAAAATACAGTTTAATCTCTAATGCTGGTATGCCTCCACATGACCTGACACTATCTGCTTATCATAACAGTGAAGTCCTCATGACAGTGGGAGTTTGAATTGCTTCATTGTTCAGGAACAATCTGAACTTTGGAGAGGTTTGCAGTCATAAATGATGGGCTTCACTTAGTCCTAGTTAGAGCTGAGTTAAGTAGACTGGTAAATAGAGAAAGTCAGGCTTTGGAATCAGACAGATGGGGGCCCACATTGCCTTCTATGTCATTTACTAAACTTAGAGAATTACTTAACCTTTCTGCCTCCCCATTTCCTTCTCTGTGTGATCTGTCTAATAAAAGGGTAATGAATTTTAATTAATAGAATGCATGTAAATCACCCATTACGGTTCCTCATCTATTTTATGTGTATATATTTTAAATTTTTTATTAAGGTATGATTGATATATACTCTTATGAAGATTTCACATGAAGAAACAGTGGTTACTACATTTACCCATATTATCAAGTCCCCACCCATACCCCAATGCAGTCACTGTCCATCAGTGCAGCAAGTTGCCAGAGATCCACTATGTGCCTTTTCTGTGCTACACTGTTCTCCCTGTGATCCCCCACACCATGTGTACTAAACATAATACCCCTCAGTCCCCTTCTCCCGCCCCACTCACCCTCCCACACACCTCCCCTTTGGTAATCACTTGTTCATTCTTGGAGTCTCTGAGTCTGCTGCCATTTTGTTCCTTCAGTTTTGCTTCATTGTTATACTCCACAAATGAGGGAAATCATTTGGCATTTGTCTTTCTCCTATGCTCATATATATTGACCTTGTTTTATTTTTTATTTTTGGAAGATCTGAGTTAATGAAAAGGTTAACTGTGTTCATGGATTGCAAAACTCAATAATGTTAAGGTTCCAGTTCCCACCAAGTTCATTTATGGATTTAATCCAATCTCAAAAATTCCACCAAGCTGTTTGGTAGAAATTGACAAGCTGATTCTAAAATTATTATTGAAAGACAAAAAGCCTAGGCTAACCAAAGCAGTTTTTTTAAAATAAGAAAACTGGAGGACATATCCTAACTGATTTCTAGACTTACTTTAAACTTACATAAGCAAGACAGTTTCTTTTCATGAAGAAACATATGGAATATATATAGAAAATGGAAGACTATAGAGTCCATAAATAGATCCACACATATATACAGTCAACTAATTTTTGACAAAGGTACCAAAACAAAGTAAAGGGGAAAATTAAACCTTAACTAGCAACATAGTGATATTATTGGCTCAAGGGAATAAACTGACATCAAATGAAAAAGAAGACAGGAAAAACTCATGCAGAGTCAGAATTTAAGGTCAACATTTCTGGAAAGCATGACAGGAACACTAGAGAGAAGCACTTAAAATTTAAGCAGTGAGTTGTGCATATAATCATTATCATGGTGTAAGAATCTTCCTGGCCCTGCTGGTGAGTGCTTCTTACAAATAAAATCAATATTAACATGTTTAATTAATAAAATTGTGTACATTTGTGCTAATCTTACGGATGGGATTTCAAGAAATAAGTTTTACAAGCAAAATAACTCCCTAACTTGGTGATTTCAGTGTATTTTTAGGTAATACTGTTGATCTTGCTAGGAGAGCCAAATATTACATTATTTGACTATAACCTCATCATGTTTGCTGCAATTCCTAGTGTTGGGATATTCATTAAAGGATATAGTTGGTAAAATAGACAAAATATTTTCACCATTAAAAATACAAATAAACTTATATAAAGCAACATATGCCCTAATACCTTTTACTTTTGGAAGCACTTTTAACAACTGAACCAACATCAAACACAGAGTGAGAGATATTTTTCCTCATCTGGAATATTTGCCATAAAACAAAGGTCAAATTATTGGATAAGGCAATTAATGTTTTAGGTGTTTTAAGTTGTCATTTGAAGAATAACTTTTAAAATATTAAATATTTTTAGATTTCATTTTTAAAATGGTTTTTATTTAGAATTTTGCATTAATGCTTCCTTCTTTTAGTGATTTTTATAATGAATATCTTAATAGTGATCATTATTACATATAACTGAAATATACATTTTTGTCCAGTATATTTGTTCATAATAACAGTAGGCAGTATTTTACAATTACCTTTTTTAAAACAGAATGAAACTTTTGTAACTTTTAGTATAATCTTACCACAGAAGACTGATATTGTTTAATATCATTTAAAACCATTGTAAATAAAGCATTATTAAAAATACAAAGTAACTTACAAATAAAATATACAAAATCCCTGATTTCAGGAATTCCATTTTTTAAATCTTGATTCCCAGAGATTAATATCTGTTGGGAATTTGGAAACACTACTATAATAACTAATGACTCCCTACAGCACTCTTCCTATCTGATAGATGGAAAAGAGCTTTTTTTACATGTTTATCTTCTTGCCATCTCAAAAATTCTGTTTCAGTGTAACATAGCTCAGCTGAAAGTTATCAGATAGCATGAGTATTAAGTAATATTTAATTTGGATATATCAACTCTGAGTATTTTTAAATTTTCTGTCTTTTTACATCCATACCACTCACCTTTCCATGTTAATTCCTTCTCTTTTTCCATTAAAATGTTTCTTTATCAACACATATATATTCAACAAGTATTTATTGAGGACCTCATATATTCTAGTAAGTATATTAGGTACTGTAGATAGAAATATGAATAAAACATAGTCCCTGCTCTTAAATATTTTGCTATCTACAAGAATTTTTTTTTAATTTTGAAAAAATTTCAAATACACAAAAGTACAAATAACATATTAATTACACTCAAAACCCACACTCCACACATTCAACAAATTTTACATTTCATTTTGTTTCCAGTCTTTTTATAAGAAATAAAACATTATAAAGTAATCTGTCTTGCCTAAGGGCTTCAGCCCAGGGCAAGTTCACTATGGATTCAATGAGACCAAAGAATGAGAATGGAACATTTCTGGGGTGAAAGAGTCATAGCCAACTTTATTCCTGCGGTGGCAGGTCAACCACTAGAATTCCATCCACTCAGAGCAAGTCTGATGCAGCAAGCCGGTCTCTGCCTCTGGGCTTCTCTGCCCACACAGCCTTCTCAGTCTCTGTCCTGGCGCTGCCATCACTCCAGCCTCTGCTCTCCCCGCAGTCTGGCAGCCATGCAGCAGCCCAGAGCACTGGACAGAGCTCTTTATATAGTCAATAACTGTGTATTGCCCACATGTGTGTAGTGAGCAAGCTGACCAGGGCCAGGTGAAAATCCTGGCTGTAGGAAACCACTTTCTCCACAGGCAGCTTTATGGTAATTTGTTGACTATATCACAACACTCTCTCCACTCTCCTAAAGATGGACATTCAGGTTGTTCCATTTTTTGCCATTACAAAAAAATTCCTCAGGAAACAGCTATAAATTTCTTTATAAATAAAGAAAACAGCTATAAAGCATGTGTGTAAGAGTTTCTGTAAGGTAAATATCCAGAACCATAATGGCTGGATTATAGGATATGAACATTTTCAGTTTTAGTAAATATTGCCAGATTACTCTCCAAAGTGGTTTGTTCCAAATCATTTAATGAACATTACATGGTTCACCTTTTACATGGTGGATATAGATTCAGGCACTGGGGATGCAGCCATGAAAAAGATCAAGTTTCTGCCCTTGTAGAGTTTCATTTTTTTAAATTTTGGTATCATTAATATACAGTTACAGGAGCAACATTGTGGTTACTCGATTCCCCCCATTATCAAGTCCCCACCACATGC